ATTTTAAGTCTTTGTTGTATCCCGGTTTCTGTCAACCACTGGGGTATATTTTGAGTTAAACTGGGAGTTTTATCATGTGTGTCAAACCCGTTTCCCTCCCGAGTGTATACTGAGGAGAAAAAAGCGTTCAGCGCCTCGGCCCTCTCCTTGTCGTTTGTGACTAGCTTCCCGCTTCCATCCTTTATTGGGCCTATCTGCTCCTTTCTCACCTTTTTACTGTTAATATATTGGTAAAATGTTTTGGGGTTCTTTTTACTATCTGCGGCGATATGCTTTTCGCACTCAGTTTTAGCTGCCCGGATTTCTAGTTTGCATTTTTTGTTACATTCTTTGTAGTTAAGGAACGCCAATGCCGTCCCTTCGGTCTTATATTTTATAAATGTCGCTCTCTTGTCCTTGACGTGTTGTTTTACAGTTTTATTAAACCATATTGGTTTAGTCTTTGATCTTTTATTTTTGCTCCCTAAAGGTATACACTTTGAAGTAGCAGTATGTACTGTGTTTTTAAAACAATCCCACATCTGACATATCATAGACATATCATCTTTCAGCAGCCAACATATTAACATCTTGAGGATTTCTTCTAGGAGGTGAGATTAATGCACCATCTAGATCCTAGGTCCCAAAGGCCTGGAGAGAGAGAAAAATCTCACAGCAGCATCTTCACAGGGCAAAAGGAAAGTCATGTGTAAGGAAGTGTCTCAAATATTTAATACCTCCCTAGCCACATCACAAGGTCTAGTACCCCATAACATTTAATGGGAAATGCAAAAGAAGCTTGAGGCAGCTTTGAAGTAGGTCAAGTTGCATTTTACCATCGACACAAGGCCCCAAAGCCATACAACCACATTCCAGCCTGAATTACGTTTTTGAGCTGGCTTTAAGGTAGAACTAAAGCCAGAACATTTTTTTTTTCGTTTTGAATAGAGCAAGGGATCGGCTTTGTAGCCATCTGTGTCCCATTGGGGAGATTTCCCTTCATTTTCTAACTGACAGCAACAGCAGGAAGTGAGGGGAAATCCCTCAAAAGAGAGAGAAATCCATGGATGTCAGCATTGTCACCAGAACTAGTGTCCTGATTGGAAGATTTCCCATCTATTCTTGTTCTGAAGAAAGGATGGGATTTTCTTTCATCTACACCTTCAATGATAACAGTCACCAAATAAAGAGGGTGAATCTCCCAAATAGGGACACAGACAGCTGTAAAAACCTGAGAGGTGTTATAATCCCTCTCAACTCTATTAAAAACAAAACACATTTTCTGGCTCCAGTTGCACTGTTCAAAAGCTTTCCAGATCTGTGCCCTTGGTCATTTAGAACAGAGCAATTAAAAAGGACTAATCCAACTGGTAGATTAAGATGATGATTCTCAGTTTATTACACATGCTACAACTGACTACAATGCAGATATAAATATTTTACACATTATCCATAGTGTTATTAAGATAAATTAGATTTTAACTTAACTCATGTACACTTAGGGAAAGATCCAGTGTTTGTTCTTTGTCCCCCAAGGTGGTGTTGAAGGAGACCTACTCATTAACTTTGGAGCTGGACCCACAATTTATCAACTTCTCTCTGCTTGTGAATCTTTTAACAAAATTATTGCTTCAGACTTTCTGGAGCAAAACCGAATACAGCTACAGAAGTGGCTGAGGAAGGATCCTGATGCATTTGACTGGACTCCAGTTGTCAAGATGGTGTGCGAGCTTGAAGGAAACAGGTGTGTTACAAGTGTGTGATAGTTGTGACTAGGATAATGTGTCTGTGTAAGTTTAATTTATTAAAGCTGCCAGACCTACACTTTTGAATATTAGAGTAACTGCAGTAATATATAACCCACGCTGCTATATTATCTCCATAGCTTAAAGTAAAGTGTCTTGCTAAAAAAAATGCAAACAGTTTTATTAAAGCAGAAGAGACTGGGTAAGCTCAGCTCATTACACAGACCCAGCATGCTGGGATGAAGTTAACTCCCGTGTGCATGCGAGGGAGTTACATCATACTGACCAACCAATCAAGAGCCTAAAGAAGAAGACCAGCAGACGATGGAGGGGAGAGTGCAAAACTCAGCTTTGGAACGGATCCTTCACATGGTACGTTGGCCATAATTTGCTGTGCATACTAGCACATTATGGCAAACACCACCGGGGGACTTTAAAAAAACAAACAAAAAAAACAATAGTAAGATATACAGTAAGACAATATAAGCCTTAATAAGTAAAATGTATTAAAAAAATTGTAAATTTATAACTATATTAAAGTGACACTAAACTCAGGCGTTAATCTTAAAAATGCACTCAATACCTTAACTAATAACAATCCAGTACTTTGTGTATCACTCCGCTGTAGATCCTCAAATCATCTCTGAATTCATGCTGACCTTCTGAAGGGTGGCTGCTTTTGTTCCCCAGGGTCCCTGTGTGTGTTGTAACATAGCCACCGCTCGAAGCTCGCTCCTGTGATGGACTACAATCATACATTTAGTTTACTAGTTTGTATTGAGATTGTAGTCTATCACAGGAGTGAGCTTGGAGCGGTGACTACTTTACAACACACACAGGGACCATGGAGAACAAAAGTAGCCACCCTCCAGAAGGAAGGACAGTGTAAGCATGAGATCAGAAGGATTTGAGGATATACAGACAAGTGATGCACAAATAAGCTACAACATTGTTATTAGTTAAAGTACTCAAATGTATTTTTAAGAATTTACTCCTGTGTTTAGGGTCACTTTAACATATAAATATTAAGATAATCAATACAATTTATAAACATAAATGGTATCTGACTTATGGTATTAAATCATATGTAGTGTGCATAATATATATAATGTTTATGTTTTAATGGCTTTTAATAACTTTATGTATAATGTCTTGATGGAAACTACCTTTACAATTCCAGCACTGATAGAGAGCACCAAATGAGGCAAGATTCCTACTTAGCTTGGTGCCATTCAATCTGGTACCTTCCACACTTTAGTATAGAGCTGATTTGGCATAGTAATTATTCAAAATAACACTGAGAAAAAAAATAATATACAGTGTCCTATTTCAGTGACAGTGAGAGCTGTAAGAAGAAGGAAGAAAAACTCAGGAGAACGGTGACAAAAGTCCTGAAATGTGATGCTCTGAAGGAGAACCCATATGACCCGGTGAAGATGCCACAAGCTGATTGCCTGATCAGTTGCCTCTGCTTAGAAGCCGTCTGCAAAGATGTGAAATCCTTCACCAATGTGTTGAGGAATTTTATGAGCTTCATAAAACCAGGGGGTAACATAGTACTGCAGAGTGTACTTAACTGTTCATACTACTTTGTTGGTCAAAAGAGGTTCTTCTCTCTGTCCATTTCTAAGGAAGAAGTGGAGGCAGCATTTAAGGAGGCTGGCTATGAAATAGTGAAACTAAAGGTCATTCCATTTACTGAAAAGCAGAGGATGGACATCAGTAATCAGGGTGGCTATTACTTTGTTCATGCCCATAAACCATGTTTGTAGTGCAAACGATCTTATGAATTATATACACCCATGTCCTAATCAGTAATTTCTCCTGTTGCTTTCCAAATGGATTATATAATCAATAAAGTTAGGAAAACAACATAAATCAATTAATTCCTATGCCAAATTGAAATGTGCACTTTTTACTATGCAGAAGGCGTAAGATAAGATGATGTTATAATATGAAGCCGGATCAAAGGGCAGACATTTTTCTCCATGTGTCCTTTGCACTTGGTCATTTAACATTGTATAACATGTGCAAGTGAAGCGAACCCATGCAGAAATGTAAACTGCAATCCAGAGTCTTGGTACAGCACCTCTCTGCAAAATAGTGTGTTATAAGTGTGTTATAATGTGGGTTGGAGGGTTGGGACACAGTATGATGATGAGGGGCTAGCCCATGGTCCGCCTAACCCATATAGCTACACCAAAGGATAGATGTCACAGATCTTTACAGCTGCTCCTATGTCCAGGCTCATAAACCATGACTATGAGTCAAATGCCCAGTGTGGATCATTCATCCAGGTCAGCGATATACAACAAATTTAATAGTAGTAGAGATGATTACATGAGTCTACATCCCTAAATAAATATACACACATTGATCCTTATAACAGGACTTTAAGGAATGCCACAAGAATGCATGTACAATTTCTAATAGATTTTTTAATTCTGTCAAATATAAAAGTTAAAACTGCATTTCACACTGAAAAAAATATCAAAACATTTCAGTGGTTATTAAATGTTATCATCATCACGTGTCATCAGCTTTACAGAATGATGACACAAAAACATGGGTAAAACATTTTAAAACAGAGATTTACTAATTCTATTAATCTGAACTCCATAATTAAAATCATTTTGTTATTAAAATGTAAAATGTGGGGTTGGCAGATGGCATTAATGCAGAACACATAGCTTTGCATTGCTGTATACGTATATTAATGCCTTTCTGGTTTATACACAACACCAGTGGCGACTCTAGGAACAATATATAGGGGGGGCACATAAGATACCACAGTCAAATCTGAGGGGGCACTAATAATTTTCATTGCATGTCGCAACCGCAGGGCGCCGAGAGCTGATTTAAATGTGGATGGCATCTGCGCCCTGCGGTTCCGACATTTAGTCATCGAAGCCATCAGAGAGGGAGACACAGAAGGCTTTGGCAGCTGAAAAGCAGCCATGCTGCTTAAACCTTCAGTTGCCAATACAGGTGGAGTGACCAAGTTCTCTTGTACATCCACTTTCTTTACCATACTCTCATCATTGTTAACCGTCAGGCCGGCACAAGAGTCATCCTGGGAAACTCTGAGCTCCAGCTTACTGGACTCCATGGAAGCTCCCAAGGATACCTCTGCTGCCCCGGTCTTGGTTGCCAACAGCAACAACACATTTTCAATATTGTGATTTTACAGCATATCAGAACCCATAACACTTTCTCCCTTAGCCGTAGTCACATTACTGGCTGCACATTTAGTTGTATCCAGCAGGGCGGCACAACCGTTGTCCTTGGTAACCCCTGGTTTCTGCACACAGGGATCTTCAAGAGTTACCAGGGACACCTCTGCTGCATTACACAACTTCTCTAAGGGAGTCAACAAATTCAGATCAGGGGTTACCCCTACCAAAGTCAAGTTAACCCCTTGTCCATATGAGACAGTTGTATGAGACACATTATCATCATCAGTCCGCATCACATATTCAGACTTTGCTTTAACCCCTTCCTCCCCCTTATACAAGGCAGTTCTTACAGGCAAGTCTTTTTCAAAGTCTCCAGTGGGTCTCCCACTTGGGGTCACTCCCACTTTGCAGTATGCAAGGTTACCGACAGTCTTCATAGTAAATGCATTATCAGTCCCAGCAAACAAGTCATTGCAGACAGTCTTACCAGGAACTGGGATCTTCCCTCCTGCAGGCTCCATGGAAAGTTATTTTGCGTTGCCACTGGCAACTGCCGATACATAGCCATTCCGGGTTGCAGGCTCGCTCTCACGCCCACAGGTACCTCCAGAAGTACCCCACAACACAGGGCATGTCACCATATTATGCCCCTTCTGGCCACACACTCCAAGCCGATCAAATGACCCTCTTGTCAGGTCATCCCGTAGTTTACACAGGTCACCTTGAGCCATTCCTCCTCTGTAGCTTCTCCTCCCAGTTGCTACAGGAAACTGCTCTCTTTCACTGTGCACTTGCTTTTTCTCCTGTCTTTGCTGGATTTTCCGCTCTCCACAGGCTGACTTGGCCCCACTCCTACGCAGATGACATACTTGGCACACGGTCAGCAGGTCTAATTTCCTTGTCGTTGCTACCGACTACAGCCCTCCTGCTGCAGAGTTTCTGTTCAGCCCTTCGCTCTCTGGGCAGTCTGAGCGGGCTTCACAATAGCTGGGGTTGGGGCTGCACAGAGCTGGTTGTACCAGTTAACAGCAGACTGAAACACTGGCACATCTTTCTCGGTCATTGGTGCAGCTTCCAGATATGGCGTTATGCCTTCCAGCCACCATCTTCTGCGAGCATCTTTGCATAACGGTCCTTTCTTTTTGAGGGACCCATCTCAGCAGACACTCAGTTTGTGCAATCCACAGCATTAATGCTTACGCCAGAAAATAGAGCGCTGCTCCTTTAAGGCCCCATTCACACTGCGCGATTCGCAAATTGTGCGATTTGCATTTTGTGCGATATCGTGCGATTGGTTGCGCGATATCGCGCAAATGCTTGCATTGAAAAGCATTGAATCGCGGCAAAATCCGCTCCAAAAAGGGTCCTGCTGTAGCGACGCACGACCCGCGACAGCAGGACCCTTTGCCCCATTGCCAAGCATTGGAGAGCGATATTGCGCGGTAAATAGCCGCGATATCGCGGGAATTACCGCGCGATAAATCGCTCAGTGTGAACGGGGCCTAAGAATCTCACTTGTCTCATTCAGCATACAGTTCACAAGAACTTCTTTTGCAGAGACTCCGGTCTCTGCCCACGTCATATAACAGGCGCACTGCCCCTTTAATGTCAGTCCTTTAATTCAGTCCTTTAATTCAGTCCCCCCAAAAAAACACAAACACAGCGCTCTCCTCCCGCAGCGCTCGGCCGGCTGTCACTTTCTCTCCTCCTCGCTGGGACACAGAGCAGCGCCGAGCGGGGAGGAAAGAAAGCACGGATGCGCTGCTGTATCAGCAGAAAAATTGCACTTTTGGCATTTAGCCAAAAGTGCCATTTCAGACCGATATCTTTTGGTGGCCGATAAATCGGTGCATCCCTAATATTTACAGCAATGCAGAATGGCACAGGCTATAGAGGACTACACATCCCAGCAATACTTTATATAACAATGCCCCCCACAGTCTCAGTCTCAGGTATTTCTGCCCCTGGAGATCAGTATCCGGCTGTCGGCGGGCCCCCCATCTCTGCGCTGGGAGTGTCGGATGAATGGATGATCCGACACTCTCGGCGCAGAGATAGGGGGCCCGCTGGCCGCTGGGTACCAATCCGGCGCTGGGACTGTGCTGGGCGCCCCAGAGGCCCTGGTGCGCCCGCACCGCTTGCACCGGCGGTAGTTCCGCCACTGACTCACGGTGTCCCAGTCTTTTAATAAGTCTCTCTTGCAGCATTGCTGCTCCGGCCTCAATCTTCAGGGCCACTGTCTGGTTCCTACAGACAAATGCAATAACATGTCAATCCTCCCAATACGTTCACGAACCCGCAGCTCCCTGCTGCACAGGCCTCCACACTGACTCCGGGGTGGAGCTCTCCTGACTCACAGGTGGGGCCCTGAACACATCCCAGCACACTCTTCATGAGGGATGTGCACAGGTGCACAATTAGGTGCCGGTCACTACCAAAGCATGGACCCAGGACTGGAGATTTCCTCCCACCCAGAGCTCTAAGAAATCTCCTGGCTCCAGGATCCCAACTAGGATCCAGAAAACCTGAAAAGGACTGAAAAGGCAGTTCTTTCCTGGTACACGTACTTTCTTCCTGGAGCCACTCAGCCCCTCTGGCTGAGAACCCTGGGTGACTTTGAGGCCACCTAACACCCTGGTAATGCCACGCAATGCCACACTACCAAAAGTGTTTTTCTGCACTAAAGCCTTTAAAGTATTTCTAATTATTGTGTTTGCTATTTCAAAAAGCCAGTATAACGGAAAAGTAAACTGTTAAAAAACGTGAAACTGTGCCAAAGTGTATGTTTAGTCAGAGAAGACTTTCTCAAGGACATCTTGCCCTTGAGAAAGTCATCTCTGATGAAATGTATGTATGGTGGAGTCTTGTCAATGCGCTTTGGAGGAAGCATACGCTGACGCGCCCGGGAATGTGGAAAGAGCTCTGCTAGTATGCCGATGTGGAGTTTATAATAAAAAATTATAGACTTGTCCCTGCAAAACATTGCTTTCTTGATGCAGGACAGGATTCTACTAGCTTTGCTTACAGCAAACTGGCACTGTAATCTATTATTCAGTCTATGGTCTACAATGACCCCCAAATCTTTCTCCATTTCCGACTTACCTAGCGGCATACCCATAATTGTATAACCCATTTGCTTATTTTTAATCCCAAAGTGCATAACTTTGCATTTATCGACATTAAATCTCATCTGCCACATAGTTGCCCACTCCCCTATTTTATCCAGGTCCCCCTGTAATGTTATACTATCGTTGCTTGTTTCTATTACCCTCCCAATTTTGGTATCATCAGCAAACACTGAGATATCGCTGTTTACTCCGTCCCCGATGTCGTTATTAAACAGGTTGAAAAGCATGGGTCCAAGCACAGAACCCTGAGGCACACCGCTAATGACACTAGCCCAGTCTGAAAGGGCGCCATTTATTGATACTCTCTGTACCCGTTCCTTTAGGCCTTGTTCACACCAAATGCAGACCAGATCCGGTCAGGTTTCTGCACACGCAGTGTAGTGGGTTGTGCCGCGTTTTAGACGCGTTTTGGATGCGTTTAGGGCCGGTTTTGGTTAAAAACAAACAAAAAAAATGTTTAAGTTTAACATGGACTTTCAGGCACTTGCATGCGTTTTTGATGCGTTTTAGATGCGTTTTTGATGCGTTCCAGACAAGATCCAGAGCAGGTAAAATAGGGCTTGCCGCATTTTTTTCATCCGGTCTGGATCTGGTCTGGATCCTTTGAGAAATCCAGATATACCACATCCACAGACCTCCCTCCATCCAGATCTCTACTTGTTAATCTCATTATAAGTATTGTACTACTAAAAGAGACACTATCATTAAAAAAAAACCCTTCAATTAAAGCATATATAAACACAAAAACAAAAGCATAATATATTGCAGCTTGCCTTTCCTTAAATGTGGTGGCTGCATTAGATTTCTTGTTTTTAGGCCTCGTTTTTTTCCCTTTATTTTCACCTTGTGATTGGGCCAGTAACACACTTCCCATTTTAGTTTGGCTATACTCTATGGAGGAACAAAAAGGTCACCACTTACACAGCAGCATTGCAACCCTGTGGGGAGGGTAGTGTTAGATGCACTAGCAGAATTAGATGGACTTGACTAACAAATTAAAGCTGAACTTCAGTTAAAACTTGTGAAGCAGTTAAAGCAACAGTTGTATTTCCTGTTAAGATAAATGAAAACAAAGCTGACCATTGTGCACACTCTGTCAGTGTTAAATGGTTTGTCTCAACCTTCTATCTGGCACTTTGGCTGGACAGCTTTGTCTGTTAAAGAAAGTTGAAAAATAACAGCAGACATACTGGCTGGATCAAAGGAAAAATACCTAAATAAAAATGAATGCAGCTACCACATTTTAGGACTGGTAAGCTGAAACTTTTTTTTCTTTTTTTTCTTTTGGGTTTAGCTGCTCTTTAAAGTTGCATCTGAGAAAATTCTGTCAGACAGATGTTGCTGTCTGTCACTACTTCCCGCTCCTCACATATTCCTATTGGCCCAACATTATGATGGTCTGCCTTATTGTCCAATAGGAACATGCAGAATGTAAGAAGGGTAACAACTACCTTTGTCACTAGAAGTGGCAAAGCTTTGCCAGTTGAAATGGCTGTGAGATTTAACTGTGATAGCTTGGCTTGGGTACTGCTGCAGGCATGTGCAGGCAAATCTAAGTGTCTTCACCTGTTTTTTTATTTTTAATTAGCTTAATTTATGCTAACTTGGGCATAAGGAAAAAGGTTAGTAGACCAACCGGGAGCTTTGTTTACTTTTAATTACTGCAGATTAAGAGACACCGTCACATGCCCATTTATGCTGGATGATAAGGGAGGCGGCAAGGAAGTGTTGAATAATCATTATATATCTTGCATGGGGGGACAGGTGACAGTGTCTAACTAAGTATAAGAAAGGAAAACAATGAACTGGGACACGTTACTGTTAATGGGTCAGTTAAAATATTCTGTACAGAGTAACCTTCCTCTCATGATTCGCTGTTCATAGAATCAGTTATGTAAGGGACACAATTGTGCAATATCAGAAGAGGAGGGAAATAGGCATCTGTCCAGCTAGAAGCTTAAAAGTTAACTGCTAAGACAGGAACCAAAGAAAGTTGCCAGGTTAAGAGATTAAACTTGGTTCTGCATCTCTTCATTAACAACCTGAAGACCGCATAACAACAATGCCTTCTATACACTATATTGTTGTGTAAATGGAGGGCTTCTGCAGTGAATAATTCCCATGTCACAGTAATGTAAGTAATTTTGGAATATATTCTCACTGTCTCTGATTCCATAGACTGCCGGGCATTTCCAGATTTGATGATATGTCTCTAGAATGTCCATTTTTCAAAACTGACCAAGCATGCAATACATTCTTTGCTTTTTGCTTTCTGTATTGAGTTATTTTCATAAAGGTTTTTATGTTTTAATGATAACTGAAGAACTATGTATGGATTTATTAAACATACAATAGTTTCTTCTTTTGTGCTTTGGGGCAATATTGAAAGGGACTTAGCTAAAAATGTCAAATTTGAATTCAGCACAAGTGCCTAGAGGCATCATATGGGTGCATGTTCTGAGTGATATAAGCTCAGATCATCCTCTGCCAAAACAACAATTATTTTCAGTAATGAGATAATGGTTAAATGGCTGAAAATAATAATCATTATGACACATAACAAATGTGTTATTGCTTAAACCTGAACACTGGAGAAATGTTAAAATTAGCCTTGCTCATGGTTGTCTAAGAGACCAATAAAAATAAGTCTTACTTACCTTTCCCCTCAGTCCACGGCAGCTGGCATCCCTCGGCATCCTCACTAACACTGCATGCCTGCTGGTCCTGCATTGCATAAAATTATGTCAGAGTACCTGTGACTGACAGAGCACTAAAGAGACACGACCTTGGAGGACCAGACACAGTGAGTGGAGGATAATTGCAAGATCGAGTATTGAGGTAAGTAAAACTGCTTCTTTAATGGTTCCCTAGACGAAAACGAACATTTAACCCTTGCCCCACTGCAAGTGTAGTTAAGAAATTTTTTCTTAGCGTTTAGCTTTAATAAAGTGAGACTTTTCAGTCAGTTTTGAAGGATAAATGTCTTTGCTTTTATTTTTTCATATATTCTTACTACTTTTATGATAAGCGCAGTTCAGCAACTACATACAATAGTAATAAATTAAAGTGACACTAAACTCAGGAGTTAAATCTTAAAAATGCATTTAAGTACCGTAACTATTAACAAATTTGTACTTTATTTGTGCATCATTCAGCTGTAGATCCTCAAACTCATCTCTGAATTGGTGCTGACACTGTCCTTCCTTCTGGAGGGTATTGTTCCTCATAGTCCCAATGTGTGTTGTAAAGTAGCCACTGCTCCAATCTCACTAATAGTTGAGATACTTGAATGCGTTTTTAAGATTTAACTCCTGAGTTTAGTGTCACTTTAATGGCTAAAGCAGAGAACAGATATCATTCTTTTTTCCTTTTGACAGTATAGGTTAGGTTTTTTCAATAGCCCAAGCCTTTAAGACAATTTTTAAACTAAAATCTAATGCCGGGAACAGCAGTAGAATGCTGGGTTAGGTTAGCAGTATAAGTTTAGGACTGAGGGAATGTATTGACATAATCATAACTGATAAGAAACCGGTAATCTAAGGTGAAGCTGAGGATCTAATGCCAGACGAGGAAAGTCAGCCAAGTCAGGAGTCAGAATTGCTTAATCAGACTGAGATTAGTCAAGTATGATACACAGAGATCATTTTGTCATCAGTGGATAAAAAAAATCCTCCTCACCATGTTGGGGCAGGACCTGAGATTGCTTGGTGTTCACAGGAGATCCTAATGGTGATATTAGAGTGATGCAGCTGACACTCTTAGACTAGGGTTCTCGTTGGAGACATAATTAAGACAGACTGAAACAGCATAATAGGGGCAGACATGAAGCAAACAAAGAGATATTCAAAACTAGAGGCAAACTGGGAGGGGGAATTAGATTAGAAAGTTGCCAGCAGTTAAGCAGTCAACCAGTTAACCCTTGCAGTGTGGAGGTAGCACCACTGCAAGGGTTAACTTTTTACATTCCTGGAGTTCTTCTTTGAGGCAATACCTTCTATATAAGCATGAGAAATACATCAATAATAACAAACAAATCTGATGCACATAGCTGCAGCAGCCTCCCCAACCCTCCTGTCATGGCCACATGATAGGCCATTTAGACAGAACTGATTTTAAATTCTAAGCTTAAAATGTGTGAAGATTGTTCCCAATATGGCCCAGCCAAATGAGGTAGAGTTTGTCATGGCTCAAGTTCCGGATGGAAGTTGTTGGAAGAATATTTAACTTGATCTTGTGCTTCCTTACTTATAGGACCATATGAGGTACAACAGATTAGCCATATCTCACTTTAGGCCCCATTCACACTGAGCGATTCGCAAATCGCGCGTTTGTCGTGCGATTTGCATTTTGCGCGATATCGCGCGTTTGTCGCATGTTTGTCGCGCGATATCGCGCAAATGCTTGCATTGAGCAAGCTAGAATCGCGGCAAAATCTGCTCCAAAAAGGGTCCTGCTGTAGCGACGCACGACCCGCGACAGCGACGGACAGAGCCCCATTGCCATGCATTGTAGAGCGATATCGCGCGGTAAATAGCCCAATAGTGAATGGGGCCTTAGACTTAATAGATTGATTCACTCAACAATAGTGTACCTGTGAGAGACCCATGTAGTACTCCATCTAGAAAATAGCCCCCTGTAATCCTTAAATAGCCTTTGTCACCTAAAAAACAGAGTTACTCGAAGGTATAAAGTGTAGGCACCTAGAAGTATTTCTTCTAATTAGTCTGATTAGGACTGTTTTGAACCAAGCTGTGGCAGGTAAATTGATCTTTTATTGTAATCATTTTTATAGGTCTGGCTGTTTTAGCTTTTTATTATGTTTTTCCATTGAATGATTTATTTACAGGTTTAAATCAATAAAGATATTTTAGCAGAATAAATTGCCTGTCTGAAGAAGAAGACACAATGGAAGCTTCATTTACCTCACAGAAGACCTATATTGATGAGTTTAGTCCTGTAGAGTATTTCAACATGTATTATGACTCAGAACAAGGAAAACTGCCAGAGTGGACAGATTTTGTACTGCAAACTCTTCATGAAGTATTTTCTTCAGGTAAAATATAAAACATCAGGTTGTAGCATCAAGGCACCACAAATAAATTATAGGCTTATATGATGTTCTGTTTCCCATAACAAGTAAGTTAAGAGAATGTTTCCAAAGAACACAAAAACAGCAAATAAAACACCACTGTTTAGAAAGAAATAAAACCTTTGTCAGGTTTCCACTGCACTCTATGTTTACCTATTGGGGTACACCAAACATGACTTGAAAGTAAACAATACAACAATATTATTATTATTATTATTATACAGGATGTATATAGTGTCAACCGTTTGCACAGCACTTTACAATATAAGACATCAATTCAAGATAAGATGGTAAGGAGGGCCCTGCCCCTGAGGGCTTACAATTTAAAATATGTGGTTTAATTGCAGATAAATTGTAATTCCCCTTCACGATAGAACAATTCATGATTTCTACTCATCCTGTTACATACCCAGGAATCAATCAAAGTAGACGTTAAGTGAAAAAAACTGGCAGGCTTTCTTTGACAAAAGAGACCGTCTAAAGGTGGCCATGCACTCTACAACCATCGCAAGACCTTAGTCTTGCGATGGTTGTACAGGGATTAAAAAAACGTACAATCTGCCTATCTTGGACAGGCAGATCGCACTCTCGATCATCGCAAGCCCGCCCCCCTGAGGGGCGGGCTTCCGATGACCGCAATGCTGAATGGGCAGTGTGCGCGTGCGCACACCGGCCCGTTCGGCATTTGTCTTCCGAGCACCGTTCTAACCAGCCGAGAATCGTACGATTCCCGGCTGGTTTTCGAACATGCTGGTTCGACGGAAGACGTGCGACCGTACAGTAGAAACGGTCGCACGTCTCCGTTCACACTGCTCGATTCTCGTACGATCGCGGGATTTCCCGCGATTCTCGTACGAGAATCGAGCAGTGTATGGGCACCTTAAGTCTCTTCTGCCATGAAAGCTTCTTGCAACAACTTGTTTTCCTGTACACTGAGCTGCACCTGTACAGCTCAGTGTATGGGCTTGGCATGCTAAGATGAAGTAACTTTCATAAAGGGAGCACCCAGATGCTGCCCCCCTCTCATGAATGAGTAAGGGATAGTTGTTACCCTTACTCATTCACTAAACGGTATAACAGTAAAATAGTAAATAAACACATAACACTGTACAAAGTCTTTTATTTAAAAAAAAAGTGTCCTGTTACAGTTACACTATTAAACAGATGGCACTGAAAATTAACACTGTAGACAGAACACATCAGTGTTTATCTGGCTGCTGGAGACTTTCATTTTGATCAAAGTAACCTACAGCCTAAATTAGAACAAGGGATACACCGATATATACGCTGCCGAAACATATCGGACGAAAATGGCACTTTTGGCTAAATGTCGAAAGTGGTATTTTCCTGCCGATACATCGGCTCATCCCTGCTTTCTTTCCTCCCCGCTGGGCGCTGCTCTGTGTCCCAGCGGGGAGGGGAAAAAATTACAGCCGGCCGAGCGCTGCGGGTGGAGAGCGCTGTGAGAGCGGAGACAGGCCGTGCTGTCACAGGAGGCTGAGCTTTCCTATACATAAAAATAAATATAACGTTTTTTAAAAGTTTATAAAAAATACATAAAAAATTAAATATTTGAAAAAATTAAAATAAAAACATTTTCGGTTTTCAGCCTGACAATTTTTTTTATTTCGGTTTGGTTTCGGTTTTTAAATTTCTATTTCGGTGCACCTCTAATTAGAACACTATCTGATGGCTGACATAGTGATCACATAATCAGTAGGGATGCACCGATACAAGCATCGGTATCGGCGGCGATACCGAGTATTTGCATGAGTACTCGTACTCGTGCAAATACTCCGATACAAAAAACGAGTACCTGTGCAGCGTCCGCCATCTTCAGGGACCCGAAACCGCCGCACACAGGACCTCCATAGCGTCTTCAATTAAACAAGATGGTCGCGAACTCCTCCTCCAAGTCCTCAGTCATCTGCTCCATTCTGACCTCTTCTCCCGCTGATTGGCTGATTGGATGATTGACAGGCATTGTCATTGTCATTGTCACTCCTGACTGGTGAGGAAGCCTGTCATCATCCAATCGGCCAATCAGCGGGAAAAGAGGTCAGAATGGTGCAGATGACTAGGCTGTAACACGGAGTGGCTGAAGCAGATGGAGAAGACGACACAGCAGGTTAGTACTGCAGCACCATATATACCAAGAAGATAAACAAGCTAACAAGAGTGGCTGGTTTAAAAAGGGTTAACAGAGAATCGGGACAAGTATTCCAATTACAAAAAGAGTTTATTAGATAAAATATCAGTTTTGGACATAAACATCATATCACTAACTGGTTTTAAAGAAAACAAAAAGCATGACAATTATAAATCTTCAGGTATGCAGATCTGTTTGTATAATGTGCTCTCATTCGTATATGCTAATCAGCTGACACCATGTGGGAAAGAAACTGATTTTTTAAGAAGGTGCTACCTTGTAACTTCCTTGTTTTTCCCACTGGAGATTAATACGTGTATTTCAGATACCAGCGGACACCAAAGGATAATACGTTATATGAAACGTATTAACCTTTGGTGTCAGCTGATTAGCATATATGAATGAGAGCACATTATACAAACAGATCTGCATACCTGAAGATTTATAATTGTCATGCTTTTTTGTTTTTTTTAAAACCAGTTAGTAATATGAAATTTATGTCCAAAACTGATATTTTATCTAATGAACTCTTTTTGTAATTTGAATACTTGTCCCGATCCTCTGTTAACCCTTTTTAACCCAGCCACTCTTGTTATCTGGTTCATGTTTTTGGTATATAGGGTTCATTTTGGTTACGGATCTGGTTGACAAAAATTAAATAAAGGGTAATTTAAATGGTTCGGATCTCCAGGCAGAAACAAAATCGTTTTCTATTAGTACTGTAGCACCGCATGGTGGCTGGGCACAAAAATGCTGTTTAACTGAATATAATATTTATTTAGCAATGGCATGATAAATATTCATTTCATGTTCATTTCATGTTCATGTTCTTCATAATATTAAGAAACTGACCTAAAATCATGATTTTGTATTGCTTTAGAAAAAATGTGACCTGTCCCTTTAAGAAAATAATCAGGAAGCACTTTGATGGCTGCTGACTCTCAGAGAGGAAGTTTAGAAACATATTCCCAGCACAGCGTATCATGATGGGAACATTTAAGTACAAATCACGGACAATTAAGCTCTAAGGGCGTTGAGAGCATTTTTGCAAAAATAAACCAAGTTATTATTGCTTCCTTTAGAGAATTACAATCTCCCTAAGATCTGAATTCTATCTCATAAGGTGGTGTTGAAGGAGACACTATAATTGACATCGGTTCTGGTCCAACCATCTATCAACTTCTCTCTGCTTGTGAGGGTTTTAACAAAATAATTGTGTCTGATTTCTTGGAGCAAAACCTCGCCGAACTGCAGAAATGGTTAAAGAAGGAACCTGGGAAATTTGACTGGACTTCATATATCAAACACGTGTGTGAACTGGAAGGAAACAGGTGTGACTCTTTATAAACAGATAATCTAACAGAGGCTTTTACCCTTTGCCACTTGAAGTGTATTTCCACTTTCACAACCAAATTGAGATAACACTTTTTTATATTTGTTACATGTTACCATTCACATAGCATAAGCTAAAAAAATGAATAAAAAAATGCTTCTTACGGTTTAAATTGCTTTTGCTTGGCTTGGGGTTTTACTGGTTAAAATTTCTTCTTGCTTGCTATTTCTTTAAAATGTTAGGAGGGGCTGTGAGGGGTAAGTGGTTGTGTCCATTGAAATTAATGAAGTCCATTGTATGTTAATGAAGCTTATCAGATAAACACAATACTTAAGACCTTTCATTGAGACAGGTCACTATGAAAGGGCTATTAAAAACCTGGAATCAGCCATCTTGCATGATTTAACAAAACATCTAAAAGGTAAGGAATTTGTATACAAGTTATTTTTTAGTATACTGTATGAATAGGAACACATAACGAGCATATAGAGGGGTTTTCCTAAATTTGACTGTAAAAGTGGAAATACACTTTAAGCTAAATAAAAGGTTTTGGTGGCAAGACAACGCCAGCTAAGAACAGTGGAGGACAGGATTGTGATCAATGACTGGTATACATCTATAACACTTTCTGGCTATCATTCCAAATTTAAAGCCTAAGCCCACATTTTTTATTCTTTTAAAAAGAATGGGTATGTTTCAAATTCTGTTTTCCTGCTTACAAAATTGAACCTCACTTCCAGTTGAGTCTGATAAGACAGAAAGTTATAGAAATTTCCCCAATGAGGACATGCAAATAAACCTGACAGAGGATCTGATCATTTCCTACTGGAGTGAAGAAATAGCTTTAAATGCTGTATGTGTCCCCATAGGGGAATTTAACCCTTTTCTGTCTTAAACAGGAGAAAGTGAGGAGAAATCTTACAAAGACAGACAAAAATAGCAACAAAGGCTGGACAGTGTGTCTGACCCTTTCCCACTCCAAAACCAAAAGAACTAAGCTTTGACTGGAGTTTTGCTTAAATGTACCAAACATTTTGGTGCAACTTTCCTAATTAGCATACCTAATAATTAGGAAGCTGTAGTTCCGAGGAGAGGGGAAAACAAGGAACACAGCTGCTTAACCCTTTTGTGACCAGAGGTCATTGATGCCTTACTGCCCAGGCCATATTTAGCAGAGTCAGCCTGAATTGGTTAAACTGACACTAACTATTACTAATTTGCCTAACTCAATAAATATACACTGTATATACTGTATAGGATATATTAAAGAAATGACAGCCTTAAAGTGGCATACACCTCATGAGACTTAACTTTTTTTTATTGCAAAATTAAAAAACAAATGCCTGGAGATTTGCAGGTAATTTTGTTGTTCTAAAGAAAGACCAAAATCCATATGTCGAGCATGGGGCAGCATTAATATAATGCCTGCAGATAGGAAGTGGTTACCATTTTGCACCGTTTTCTTCTGTGTTACGCAGTCATTATTCTTTCTATTATAAGGCTTCCCCTAGCAAATGTTCATTGTATCGTGTTCATATCTGGGAACAGTTATTTACAACCATGCAGATCAGCACAGAGTGTGTGCCCACTCATTAGACTGCTTATGTGCCTAGTTACTCCAAAGTTATCTTAAGTAATGATGGTTAAGAGTTTTTTTTTTGGATTTACAGAGTAAGCTGGGATGAAAAAGCAGAGAAGCTCCGTAGTAAGGTGAAAGAGGTTCTCAGATGTGATGTCCTGAAGAAAAACCCTTTTGAGCCCCTGACATTAGCACCGGTGGATTGTGTTATTTCTTGTCTTTGTCTTGAAGTAGCTTGTAAAGATATGGATTCCTTTTATAATGCCTTAACAAATTTAAAGGACTTCATCAAGCCTGGAGGTCACTTACTACTTTTGAGCATGCTAAATAGTCGCTACTATGCTATTGGCAACACATTTTTCAGTACCTTGCCAATAACAAAAGAGGGACTGGAGAAGGCACTTAAAGATGCTGGGTATGAAATTGTGGAAATTAAATATGCTGCCCAGAATTATCAGTCAAATGTGGAAATTTTTACAGGTGACACTCATTATTATGTCAAAGCCCGTAAACCAATATAGTTAGATAGTATTTGAGGTTGAATAAAGACACAGGTCCATCAAGTTTAACCTTTGTGAGCATGTGTGTCATAGTCTCTGTGTGTTTCAGGCATTAAGAGTACCTGTATCCCTGTATGTTCTGTTCTCTGAGGAGCAAAATTAGTCCATACTCTCTGTTGATACCCCTGCTTCTGGAAGAGATTCCACAGTTTTACTGCTCAAACAAAAAATAAACTCTTACACCCTTTCTTTTTAAGTGAGTTTACAGGAAAAAAATGTTTATTACTGGTGTTACTGTCGCCATTAAACACTTTGTACATCAAAATCATGTTCTTTCGTAGTCATTTCATTTCAAGAGTGAACAAGTTGAGATTTTGCAATCTTGTCTCATAGTTTTGATCCTCCAGCCCCTTTATTAGTTTTGTTGTCCTTCTCTGTACTCTCTCCAGTTTCTCTGTATTGGTGACCAAAATTGAAGCACATACTCAAAATGAGGCCGAACCAGAGTTTTGTAAATTGGCAAAATGATTCCTTTGTCCCTAGAGTACATTCCATTTTTAATGCATGATAGTACTCTGCTAGCTTTGTTTGCTGCAGCCTGACATTACATTCTACAATGATAAATCTCATCCGCCATGTAATTGCCCAATCTCCCTTTTTATCCAGGTCCTCCTGTAATGTTGTTATGGCTAATCTCGAGTTTATTACCCTGCAAATATTACTATCATCAGCAAAAACGGAAACACTGCTATTAACCCCTCCCCACTATTATTAATGTACAGGTTAAACAGTATTGGGTTAAACAGAACTCTTGTTTGTGCACACCAATTAGACCAATTGTGCTATTTACACATACTCTCTGGACACGTTCTTGTAGCCAGTTCTCTGTACATGTGAACACCATTTCATCTATGCCCATTGTAGTTTGTGTATTAAGCATTTATGTGATACCGTATCAAATTATTTTGCAAAATCCAGCTACACTATGTCCACTGGCTGTTAGTTGGTTGTCACTTATTATACCAATTGCATACAATTGATATTAAACTTACCGGTGTGTAGTTCCCAGGTTGGCATCTTGAAAGTTTTTTTTATATAGGTACTATCTTCACTTTGCGCCATTCAATTAGTACCCTTCCAGTCAGTATTGAGTCCTTGAAAATTAGGAACAAGGGTCTCACTATGACTTCACTGAGCTTGGTACCCTTGGGTGCAGGTTAGCTGGTTCTGATGATTTATTCACATTAAGTTGTTTCAGTCTTTATTGAACCCCGACAAGCGTCAACCGCTTAGGTATATTGTACCTTAAACTACTCACATTCTTATTATAGCTAATAAACCAATTTTTTTCTTGAGTATATACTGAGAAGAATACGTTTAATACCTCAACCTTCTCCCTGTCATTTGTGATTAAACTCCAGTGCTCAACCTTTATTGGACCTACCTCCTTATTTCTTACCTTTTTTTTGTTGATATATTGAAAGAATGTTTTGGGGGTTCTTATTACTGACTTTGGGGATGTTTTTGCATTCTATTTTTGCTGCCCGGATTGCGTGTTTACATCTCTTATTGCTTTCCTTGTAGCTCTGGACCCTCCATCTTATATTTTTTAAATGCCAGCTTCTTCTCATTCATATGTTGTTTTGCCATTGGGTTGAGCCACACAGTTTTAGTTCTTGTTCTTTTAATTGTCAATAAAACAAGGATTGTACATAGAACAATATCGGACCTCTGAAAAGTACAAGCATGCATATGTACTCAGTACTTGGTTTGGGCCCCTTTTGCAGCAATTACTGCCTCAATGCGGCGTGGCATGGAAGCTATCGTGAACATTTGCACGATATTCTAATTACCGTATTTTTCGCTCCATAAGACACACTTTTTTTCCCCCAAAGGGAGGGGGAAAATGTGCCTGCGTCTTATGGAGCGAATACCTATCGCCCGACGCCCGTGACATGCAGTTTCGGGTGGCGGGCGAGTAGTTTCTTTTTGTACATTCAGCACTGCTCCTGACAAGCAGAGCTGAATGTACAGTGGGAGCCGCTGTTCGTTTAATACAAGGGATCTAATTAGATCCCTTGTATTTAATCGAGCGTCGGCGGCGGCATCGGCGATCGTGTCCGCCCCCCGCCGTGGTTTTCTGGGTACCCCGTTCCTCTGGGGGACCAAGACCCGTCACGGTCCCCCATAGGAGCTCACCATAGAGCCCATTGAGCGACGAAGAACGTCGTTCTTCGTCTGCTCCGTGTGATTACTGAGACAGCGCCACCTGTCTCAGCAGTCACTAACTGCAGCTTCTGTGACAGAATTTCTGTCATAGAATTTCTGTCACAGAGGCCATGCGTCCTATCGTCCGGAGCGTCTTATAGACCGCAAAATACGGTATTCGAGTTTCACCTGTATATAACTACAAAGCTCCCAACTTTCCCTCATTTGGAACCAAATCTCTCTTTGGAATCAAACCCCTTTGTCCCTACTACCTCCTTAGTTGTCCCTCTTTTTGGTCTGATGAAAAGGTGCTATTTAACTACCAGTATTATTATCTGATCACTTAATTATCTTGTTTGCTATTTTAAAAAGCCAGTATAAAGGGAAGGTAATAGTAAAAAACAGGTATGGGTTTAATCAATAATTCATGGCATTTAAATTCTTAATGGTCCAAACATGGGGGGGGGGGCATGGCAGGGGTGTGTTTATTGCCTAAATAAAAACTAGTCAACTGCTAGAGCCTTAGTAAACAGGCTCTAGCAGTTAGTTGGTATATAAATACCAAGTTTGTAATAAAGCAATATGAATATGTAGGCATATATCCTATTCCAAAAAAAAAGATATACATTAGGATTGAACACATATATTCCTTGTCTTGGTGTCATCAAGACAGGAAGTGAGGGGGAGTCTTACTAATGAGGGCACAGCCAGCAATACCCACTTTAAAAATGTTCTGACCCATTTTTTTAAAACTAAAAAGCAACATTTGGAGTTTGTTCCAAACAAGTACTGTAGACTTCACATATGCAAAATAATTAAAAACAAACAAACAGATTTATGGAAAAGTGAGTTTTATTTAAAATTTTTACTCTAAGCTGCTGAAATCTAACAAAAATCCAAACACCAGAGATACTTGTATTCAGTGTAACAATCCAGTTTACTATTTTTGGTATGATTCTGTTAACTGATTCTGTTATCTCTTCTTACTTATGAGCAATTCTTTCAGCACCTGAATGAAGAATCATGAAGTCACCATGAACTTTACCAAAATGCTTACATTTGTACTGTGTGTTTCTTATTTCTTATCAAAAATAAATTGTACATTTTATTTATTATAGTGGCGGCACCCAGTGGCGGACCTAATAACCAAAGGGCCCTGGTGCAAGATTTTATCTTAGGCCCCCTCCCAGGATGGCTGGGGGGGTGCGGGAGCGGATCACACTGGCCCCCGAACCCCCCCAGTGATCTCTAATGTTGCAGTAGCGTGCTAGACTCTGAACAGCTGATCAGTCCTGAAATGTCACTTCCATCCGAACTGTGATTTCGATCTCACATACCACACAACTCACAAAGTTGGATAGAAGTGACATTTCAGGACTGATCAGCTGTTCCAGAGAAGATCGGTTCTCCTGCAAATTCAATCTGCGTAATGCCGATCTGCCCTGAACAGCTGACAAAGCGTTGGAATTATTGACCTATTGGCGATCACACATTCCACCGCCAAAAAACTGGGCGGGATTATGTTAAAATGTGTGACCACGTGACCGGTCACACATTCTAACGTAGTCATAAACATTGATAATCGCAGGATCGGAGCCAGACTGTTTGTGCACTGCAGGGGGTGGGGCGTGTGACACACACACTTCTCTCCCGCCGCCTGTTACTTGGGATGCAGACGGGAGAGGAGGACCCGCCCCCTTACTGAGATGCCAGAGGGCTGTGCAGGCCCTGATATTCTAACACCGGGACCCTGCACTGTCCCATATTCCACGTGGGGGGTGCCCAGGACCGGACCTCACTGGGCCCCCCCACAGTCTCAGGTGGTATTTCCGCACCTGGAGATCACTGCGGCCAGCAAGTCCCACCATCTGTGCTGGGCCCCCCCAGGCTGAGGCCCCGTTGCGTTTGCACCAGCTGCAGCGGCGGTAGTTCCGCCACTGCTGCAACCTACTGTTAAACTTTCTATATTGGAGGCTCTTGGGAATATCTCCAGCTCTGCTACTGACCGCTTGAGACATCATGGCCCTGCTCTATCTATCTTCATGGCCCCGATCTATTATACTTCACTGCCCCTGTTGCTCTCTTCTCACTTTCAGACTCCCACCCTTATAGTTTCCAGGAGGGGGCGGGGTGGAAGTGGGGGGAGTGTACCAAAAACGCTTTAATTAATTTAGGGTGCCCCTCTAATATTGTGTCTACAAACATCTATAATATATATAGACCGCACTATTTTTCTTATTGTGTATATTCCTCTATTCTTATTTATATATGTTATTCAAGTGTTCAATAGTGTGATAACTAAACAATAGACCTCTTTATTTTTTAAAAATATTATTGACATAGTTACATACGGTAGTATTTGGGGTTGAATAAAGACATGCGTCCATCAAGTCCAACCCATATAGGTCCACGCATCATCTCATTCTTAGGGATACTGGTATCCCTGGATATTACGGTCCCTCAAGAA